TACAAATATAGCTGATATAGAAAGTTAAAATACCCGAAAGTGTGTGACAGCATTTTGATTCAGTGGTTACATATGTTGAGATGGTAGACTGATGCGGAGAAAACTGAGAGAATTTTTTTTATGTGGGAGACGCTAATGTGAGTTTTAGGATGAAACCAATGATGAGTCCGATGAGTCCAACCAAAGCTGCCAACTTCAGGGATAACCCGTTTCCGCTGTTCCTCTGGTTTCTCCGTCTCTTCACCATCTCCTACAATGTCATTAAAAACATGTTTGGCGGTATCCTTTGTTAATACTTAAAACGATTTTGTCTCAATGGCACTGATTAATCAATGCTACAATATCAAGGAGAACTTTATGGAGACATACCAATTCATGTTGCAACTGTTGTGTTTGCTTAACAGCTGCATCTCGCTCTTCCTTCAGCCGCTGTATAGTCTGATCATACATATTGATGGTCGAAAAGTGAGAGTGAGGATCAAAACAAGACAAGAACTAATGCATCTTTTGCCAAAATAGGTTCTGTGAGGTGTATTATCGCTCATCTTATGAAGAAATGTCTAATAACAGATTTATACAAATTAAAAGCTTTCAAATCTGTGTGTGATAAGTGTCCAAAACAACAATCAACTAAATTCTTCATTAAATTTTCTATTGCTGAAAATTCCTGAAACCCACAAGTGTGAATACCAGAAAGTATGAGATTCAAATGAAGCTTTGTGATTGTCCCCCAAATTAGTTTGTATAGTAATTCTTGCATACTCGAATCACAAAAGATAAGGAGACTATTAATAAGATGCATGTCTACGCAAGAGGTTCATGGTATCTTGGTATCAAATAAAACTTAACCTACTATAAGGCTTTTGCTACGATCATAATTGGCTAGCACAATTTAATAATGTAGAAGTCCGAACAATGTGGTTCAGAGCATTTGCAGGAAGCCATTACTATTAAATTATATCAGATGGATGTAATTGTTACTCACAGAGATGGTTTCGGGGCCATTTCCATCACCATTGGTTGCTCCAGATTCAGAGGATCTTTGGGGCGTAGACGAGGAGATATACGAGACCTTGAGCTTACACTCTGTTAATGTTTTCCCACTGTCTTTGGTAAACTAGACACAAACATGGTACATTTGATTTCAATTTCTTTTCCCCAAATGCGAAAATAATGATTCTGAATTAAAAAGAAAAAAAAAGTTTTAATCTGGGACTTACCGTGTCTTGTGGAAGTTCATCCACATCAGTGTGTGGAGGTACAATGGTACTTTGGAGAAGAAATTTGTCTTTGCACTGCATATCTGGAGGATACTCTCGTTGTGCTTGTAGAGTCACTACAATTTTGAAGATCTTAAATACTTCCATGTTTAAGTTTTGAACTGTCAATATCTGAAAAGAGTAATAAAGAATCATTGTACCTCTAATGATGCAGGAGTCCCATGGTTGTATGACACCAGTGTTGGGTCTTACGAAATACTTCTTTGGAGATGTTGTTTTCACCTGAATTGGCGAAGAAAAAACACAAAACCAAGTCACTTTTAGGGAAGTTTTTAGGGAAAAAAAACTTCATCACGAAGCAAGCATATGAAGATGGTGATTTGATGAAGAATTACCTTGAAAGCAACATAGTGCTCTGTTTTATTAGCTACTTTAAGATCACAGTAGCTTTGCTTCTCGAGTTCAACTGAAACAATATCAATATTCCCATGTCATTCAAAAGGAGTACCATTAAAAGTTTCAGTATCATCAATTCCGGCAAGCTAATTGTAAATAACGATTTCGTTTATCGCCAAAAGAATCAATCAACGCAACAAGTATCAGTTCTCTTCATTGAACAGTTTACATTTCTAAAAGGTTTACCTTAAGCTCAACAAACTAGATGATGTAACAAGAGGAAATCAATGATTCACAACATATAAATCTCCAGAAATTTAAAAAGATTGGCTAATCTACATTTCACGCATGCACAATCTTGCAGAAAGAGAGAGAGAGAGTTGAATTCTTACATTGAAATTTGAGTTCATCAGGTTGAATGGAGATAAGCTGATTCTCGCCAACGCCAGACATTGCTTTAAAGAATTCTCTATTGAAAACCTATACACATCCAAAATCGAAAACCCTAATTTCAAACAAATTCCGATTTCAAAAAAAGAAAAATTTTCCCAAAAAAGATCTCAAAAAGCTCCAAAAGTAAAAGAGGAACAAAAAAAAAGAATTAGAAATGAAGAGGCAAAAAAGACGGATCAAACCTGAAGAAGAAAAGAACGCGAAGAAATTGCTTCTCTATTTCTTTTCTATGGCTTCCGAAAATCGCTCTCCACCAAAACCCAAAATCCACCTCTTGTCTCGTTTCAATTGGTGGTGATGACGAAGACAAAGGAATTTTTCTAGAGAGAGAAAATCGAAACGAAAGACGCTTCGTGGAGCGGCCACGTGAAGTCGAAGCAAAGTTCCGTGAGATTTCTTCTCCGGCGTCGTCGTCGTCTCCGGGAAGTGCGGAGAAGAAGAGAGAGAGAGAGGGGAAGGAAAATGTGACACGTGTGAAAACAGTTTGTGTGTTAAGAGGAGGAGCAGAAAAAGGGTAAAGCGACAGGCTGGTAATGGAGAGCAATTACGTGGCATGTTTTGACTGGTTGGTCTTAATTTATTTATAGAAGCTATAATAATGGGCTTTCAGGTGGTAGGCCATTTTCATTTCTCACGATGATATTTTTTAATTATATTTTTCCGTTGCCATTAATCATTAATGTAAATTAAAAAGAATTATTAAATCGAGGTAGTAGAATCATGACGAAGAAACACAAGGAGAGGAAAAAGACAAGAGAAAAAAAAAATACTCAATGATTTCACAGTATATTCGTTTGTCTGTCTGTTTTACCTGTAAAGTCATTATTTATTCAATAACAACAAAAACTGATTCTGTAAGAGTTTTTTAATAATGTGGTTTGGTTACGTTTCAAAAATTAAACTAGCACAGTGACGACAAAAAAGAACTAGCATTAGTAACTGTGATAATTGAAATACAATATATGAATACAGCAATTGATCATTACAATTTAGCCAAAATGTTGAACGAGAATTAAAAATTGTTATAATCCTTTTTCGAAAATATAATTTAGATAAATCAAAATGGTTTATTTCTCTAAGGTTCACATTCTTACTCAGGTTCAAGCAATCAAGAGGGAGAGCTCACAAAACATTTGATTTACTTTTCTCAAATTAATGTCACTAA